ACAAGTTGTTCAGTTGATGCTCCTGTTGATTTTCCCTATAATTTTAATCTCATATGACACTATTTGCTTTCTGCTCTGAACTATCATGTTAGAATTGTTCATCTTCCCTTTATGTTCCAGAGGTAGGTTAAACGTGGATAAAAGAGTTGCTAAAATCATGGGCAGTGGTGACTGCAATCCTTGAATTAAATGTGCTAACTTAATCCTCTTCTTGTGAGTGTGGAGCTGTTACAAATATTCTAAGGGCTTCACAGGTATCCTGTAAAATCTGTTAATAATGTATTTCCTATTCTTGTCTTAGCACATTACATTTTATTACTACTACTACTAATAGAAGAAACTTGATCAGTAAGTTATGAGATATATCAAGAAGGGGACAGATAGAGGACAATAGGCTCTAGATGAAGTATTTTAGAACCAGTATGTTTGGGCATACATACATTGTCACTGAATGTGAAGTCTGAATATTCTTTTTTATTGATAAAATTCAGAAAAAATACATTATTTAGGAGGAGCTCTAAGAGAACATGAGTCAGCCACTGTATTCTGCAAGACCCTGTACTGGTTCCCTATATTTGTAGGTCAGATAAAAAGACCTCCAGAGAACAGTCTGTAAAGTCTTACATTGCATCACTGGATTCCTCTATTAGTAAAGTTACAGGAAATAGTACCAGCGTGAAGTTTGACAATCAAAATGTTCAAGCAGAGCAAATGGAAATAAATCCTATGAAAAGGGTGAATTCTCTGAAATACTCCCAAGATTTATTACTGGAAATTGTGACACCCCAAAATGACCTGTGAATCCAGAATGCCCTTCCAAAGAAATGTGAGAGGACAAGGAAATCTTACTTGGAACCGCACTTGGGAAGCTAATGTTCCCAGGTTGTGATGAAAAAAAAAAACTGAACAAAAAAAGGAGGTGGAAGTAGTAGCGGCAATAATAATAATGTTCTTGCAATATCTTTATTGACTCTTTCATGTTATTGTGTTAATCGACATTAAATGTGTTTTCACATTTCAGTGGAGCTTTGGATTGCTAACAGGTGTTACATAGCTTTTCTAGCTTTGGTCATTTACAGAATAAGGTGTTGCACACTGGGCAATCTTAATCAGAGTTGTAACTAACTGATGTGATAGGCTAGCAGATTCGGCAAAGAGACCAGACCATTGCAAGAAATAATGACCTTGCTGGAAAAATGTATTTCTGCTAGCAGAATAACAAGAATCTCTTGTATTTTGGAAATGTGAAAATGTGGGAAAGGAAAACATATGTAGTATTTTAAAAAAATGGAAATATTTTTGAGTGGATTTTTTTCTAATGTGGTTAATCAACATTAACTACAGTATTATAGCTACAGTGAGTGAAAGCAGCCACTCTGAAGGTTCACAGAGTTCTTTCCTAGGAATTTTTGATGTAGCATTCCTTCACTTACTACTTTGTTGCTAGTGTGTCAATTTGTTTTGCCATAATCTAAACTTTGAAAGCCCTGTATAAGACTGTTAGGCAAGCTTTCATCCTGTATTAGTGGTCTCCTCTATTGCAGGCGGATTTCACAATAGGACAAAATAAATTCCCTAACTCTGGATTTGTGGGTAAATCCAGCAGTAATGGCGTATTCTGTAATCATACCTAAAAATAAAACCACCACCCAATTGCAGCTAATTTCTTACGGGCTTTTTTGGCATTTTTTTCAGGAATTTCATAGGACTTTTGGATAAGAAACATATGTTTATGTAACTAATTTATGGAGTAGAATCAGTTGTTTTCATTTGGGAATGATGGAGGTTTCCACAGGAACCTGTTTAAACCTAATTGTCTTTCCTTCATCCTATCTCAAGTTTTGGCTAAGTTTAATTACGTTAAACACCAAATGTTATTCTGCTAGCTGGTTATTAGTAGACTACCTCAAATTTTAAGTGCTTTCTCTTTTTTTTAAAGCTTAAGTACGTCTTTACTGGTCTGTTACATCAAATAACTTTATTTCATAGTATAGCTCTTAGTCATAGTCTTTTGAGGTCTGTCTCGCTGGATGTGTTGTAACTCTGAATTTTAGTAGTTTTGCCGCATTCATATGGGATAGGGATGTACATCTTCAGGACAGGTCATTACAGCTAGCTTATTTGTTTTAGAGGTTTATTAGACAACCTAATATACTTTAGCAAAGCTACTTACTAGCATTAAAGACAGGGTACATAAGTCACCTACTTAGGTATCTGCCTCCTGTCAGAGACTTTCAGAACAATGGTTTTTCAAATGCTTTTCCATGATTTTACCCATCCTCTAGGCTAAAAACTGCTTTCATAGCACTTGGCAGGGGAAGAGAGAAGAAGAGAGAAGTAAGGTAAAACTCAGATAATTTTTTTTAAAAAAAATATTTACTTTTTTTCCTTAATAGTGGAAGAAATTATCTCTTCAATGGCTATTTATTGCATTGAGACTCTTCAAAGTGAGTCATTCGTTTGCATAGCAGATCAAGTTGATTCTGAGTAAATCACACTTTTTCCTGTGTTCATCTATTCAGTCATTCACAAACTGACGTGGTATCAGACTAAGAGAGTAAGAAAGTCAACAGCATTGAGCATACATTCAGCATCATGTTAATTAACATAAGTTTTCTAGTGTTACAAGTATTTCATTATTTTATGTAGTGTTAAATGCTAGCACAAAGAAAGATAGCAGCAAAAAAATTGGGGTTGTTTTTACGAGAATTACAAAAGTAACCAAGCTATATATTTCTGTTTCAGTGGACATGAAAGTTTGCAAATGTATAAAAGTTTTATAAGCCCCTTTGAAAATTCCTTACATTGAGCCTAAATGTAAGATACTTGAAAATGCAAAGTCCAAGTTCAGTTCTCGGTCATACGCTGATAACACACATCATTGGTACGAGTAAAAGTAAGTAAACAAACAAGTGCTCAAAAAAAAATTATTGTGCTTAGAATTATGTCACCTTGGAACAGCCTCTGCAAGTTGATTCTTAACAATACAGATCATGAATCTCAGATTTTGAAAATACTAACTATATGCAAAAACTTCAGAGTTTCAGTAGAAAAGAACTTCTTTTCAGTGACAGTTGAAACCTTAACAATATGATTTTTTTTTTTAATGTTAACTAATATTTTGCATTTTTCCTTAATAGAAAGTATCACAGTTAATTTAGCAAAACTGCAGCAAACAGCATCCTAGGGACTGGTTTCAAGTATTTTTGGTTATTTTAAGAATTAACTAGAAGTCACAATGCCTCTTAATTGCTTTTGGTTGAAAATAAGTTGTTGAAAAGCAATAGTTCTAATAGTAAAGACTGGTAAGCTTTTAAACTTAGAAAACTGTGTTTCATTTTCTTCTTAAAAGTTATGTCAGTACAGAAGCTGGACAAGTATTTACAACTAAGTAATTTCAATTTTTTTCCACAGAAAGAGACAGCAGCAACGTAACTCCACTGGAACACAGGGTTATTTAAATCAATTTATACTGACTTTATTAGTATCCAGTTCACTTATAGAGTGCAGGGCACTGTTGTTTCAAAAGAAGTTTGCAAATACTAGCAGTCAAGCTGCCTGAAATTTTCTGCATTTTTTTTTTTAAAAAAGTATTAATGTTTATTCAGAGGTCTGTAATTAAAATATGTACAACTTCATGTGTCTTGTCACTTATTTGACTTGATTTTTACATGTACTGTTAGTCAAAAATTACTCATAGATGCTATATCACGTATTTGATTTGAAAGCAGTCAAAATTTTTAGTGGTTAATAATTAAGATCATGGGGTTCACATGAAAATAGTATTTTCTCTAAGAGCACATAATAAAGTTATTAATATTTTTATGATAAATTTTCTAGCTTAGACAACTATTTTCTTACCTATTGACTGACATAAATATGAAACTTCTTTCCTGCAGTAACAAGAACCTGTTACTATGACTGGGTGAAAATATAACTATGGTGAAAATAGAAGTACAAGAATTACAGAAATAAATGGAGACAGATAGAGTAAGTTTACTGAAAGGTTTTTAATCTTAAGTTTCACGTATTAGGTTTTGAAATATAGAGCTCTCTTCACAGCATAATGAGTAGAATCAACTTTTTTGTTAATACTTTAATGTGGTTGTTTAGAATTTTATGTCTGTCTCCGGCTTGCATTTTGGTCATTTGGTCTTCAAGGCTTTGTAATGAAGCTGCTAGCAAAACAGCAGTAGGCTCAAGGTTGCTTGCAGGCAGTCTCAGCTATGGAAAACTTCAAGACTTAATGTAGAATGTTGCTTATGTTGAAAACTTAAGATATATCCATTTATACATTTTTACTACAGTCAGAACTTACATCAGTAACGTACTAGTGGCTTTGGGACACAGCTTTTGCTAAAACACAATGAGAATATGCAGCTTTTTTAAAAAGAAGCTGCTTTTATTGAGTTTGAGTTGCCTGGTACAGTATGAGAGATGAGAACTTACTGAATTGTAGGGAGAAAAATGGCAGGTTTTTTTCTGACTTAGAACAGATAAATTCACTAGGATCCTAGAGGGTTTATTAGGTTCCTGTTATGGCTGAGACTATCCATGGGAATTTAACTGTGGCTTACAGAAGAGGCTTGTTTGTCAGCAGCAATGCCAGTGAAACTTAATGCATGTTGCCTGTTCTTTTAAGAAAACAGTATTAGGTTCTGGTGGTGAACAGGAATACAGTATAAATAAAAATATGTACAGTAACTTTATTTAATATGATTCTTCAAAATTAACCCGTACATGTTACAACTTGAGACTTACTTTGCATAGTAAGAGGTCCTCAGATTAATTGCTAAAATGACCCAACAATAAATGGAGATGCAAAAGCACAGATTTGTACTAAGAATGTAGACAAATGCAAGAGCACGAGTCACATTTTCAAGTAACTTAACTTCTTTGGGAAAGACGCAGTATTAAATCTGCATGAAAAATGATGCATAGCTTACTTTTGGCAGGTATGATAGCACATCAAGTGTGAAAAATGCCTTTTGGATGTGTGAAAAGAGAAACATTTATTTGCATAAGCAACTAATTTGTCCAGTTTCAAACTCAAGACTTGGAAGTGAAGGATTTTTCCTTACTAAAATATTTTGGGTGATAATGAAAAGACAAATAGATTGTTTAAGGTCACAGACAAAACCCAGCCCTGAATTCAGAAAGGCACATGGACTGCAGCAATATGAGCTGAAAATAGAGTAAGATTACAGCAGGAACTCTCTTATTAAGAAATATTTTGAAATAAGGAGATAAGCATTCATCCATTCTCTATACAGTTTTCCTTACAGTCAGAAAGTGAGGCACACTGCACTTCATGATGCCAACAGAGGAAGTACTTAATGAAATATGGCGACTTCAATGGCATTTTCAAGTATACTTTGTCTAATTGTATTTTAACCATACAAACTAAAGCAGCAAATACAAATCACATTTTCCTTCTTTGAAGCACAGGAGAGGTATGATTATTTGGTATTTATTTAGAATTCCCAGTCTGCATCACCTTGATTTGCAGTAATATGTCCAAGTTCAGTCCCAACTGCTGTTGAGGGCATTGCCAAGAACTCTGATCTGTTATTTTGAAGAGGAGGTGGTAATAGAGACAGCAGTGAATTCTGTGTTTGTTCTTTTATCTAGAAAGAACAAAAGTTAAAATAGGGCTGCACATAAAAGTCTACAAAACCTTGCATCTGACAATTAAAAGCATGTGAAATCAGACCCATGTTCTTGCACGTCACAATACTGAAAATAACAGGATGAGGGGTTTAGCTTTCCTCAGTCTCAAGTTGAATTAGTCTTTCAAGACTAATTACATTAGCTATGCAGTTCTGCTTTAAATTAAGAATATTAACCATTATTATTAGTTAGGCTGACTTTAGTTAAGCCAACTTTATCAAAGGGGAAATGGATTACTCTCGTGCTTCCTATACTCTATCAATACCATTTCGTTAAAAAAAAAAGTAGTAGTTTGAAGCAGATATGCTGTTACAGGATGTATTTTGGCTCCAGCTAACTTAATTATTTTGTAATCCAACTCTAATATTTTGTGGCTTATCTAGGTTATAGCTGTGTCATTTAACAAAATGTAGTAAACTCACCTGTTTGAAGAACGTATGCGAAAGCAAACTGCTTGCTGATGGCCTGGATCATAAAATGAACAATATAATTACGTTTTGGAAAGTAAAATACTACTTTGGAAAAATGGACCAGACTGACAAATCAATTTAAGCTCTGTAGTTTTTCATCCACAGGACGAACATAAAGCATGAGAAAAGCAGCACAGAATTCCTACATTCTGTGCCTCAATTTGTAGTGAAGGCACTGCTGAAGAAATCTATTTTTAAAGGCTTTTTTGCTTTTCTGTTTAACAAGGGAATTTAATGCCTCATTCAGAAGAGACACAGTACTGTAAACATATACTTCAGATTCCTGGTTTTTTTTCTTGAACAAAGTGCATTTTTAAAAATTAATTTTACTTGTTACAAGGTACATTCATATTACAAGAAATTCAGGTGTCAAACAACTTAAAAAGCATGGTTCCTTTGTCAGACAAGATAATTCTTCAATTAAAAAAACAAAAGTAAGTGTAGTGTTTTGCATAGCACTTCTGGTCTGAAATTCTGACTTTAACAGTATTCAAGTAATTACTGTATCCTAAATTGTGGGCTATACTTGGTCTTAGATTGAAGTGACAGAAAATTAGTTTTCAGCAGAAGGTTACCTTTTCTCAGGGTCCTGTTGCAAACAAAGTTCTACCAAGTTGTGGAAAGCAGGTGAAAACGTTTTGGAAAAGGGAATTTGTAGTCTTTCACTGGTCATTGTGCGTGTCATGCTCTCACCAATTCCAGAATCAACACCTGATCGGGAATTCTTCATCCTGGATTCCCCGTGGGGAAGGGTATTTATATCCCAAGGACAGTATGTGGGACCTTTCAGCTTTTGGAGCAGCATCTAGTAGAAAGGAATAGCAGTGTAAGAATTCAACACCTATCCAGACCTATTCAGGCTAAGCTGTGAAACTCCAGGATTATTTGATCTAGAAAGAAGTATGCATATTTGAAATAACAAAAAGCAGCCACCATTTCAGCAGTAATAGCATTGCTTTCTCCGAGTAAAGCAAAAAAAAGCTCAGACTGTTTTGAAGTAGAAATAAGAGTTTAGCATCATACCTGAGTGCGAGGCATATCTTGAAATGGAACATGTCCATTGGCCAATTCACATGCTGTAATTCCCACACTGTAAATGTCAGACTTCATGTTATACCCAGACAAATCCTATGAGAGAAAGAAAACACTACTGGATCACTGATGCCACTGAGCAGTGCTGACAAAAATACAGGTGTCTGTTTCAAGACAGGATTCTAATACCCTGTAATCTATACAGGATTGAAGCAATTAAATCGTGAAACCTCAGGCTTTGTTCAGAAATGTAATGGTTGTACTGAAGACAAGTTTTAAGATCTGCAGTACTTTCCAGGAAGGTCAGGTAAAAAGACTTAGTACAGCACCACCTTACCAACAGCTTTAAAACCAGTTCTCTTTAAGAGAATTACAAATTACTTCTATGTATTTTTAAAAGTTGCAGTTCAACAGCATCCATTGCACTTCTACAAGCAGACTTAAGTTAGAAGCTGAGTACTTCCAGGTAACTTTGAATAAGAAAAATTAAGTGTAATTTATACTAACCTGTCTCAGTAGTTCAGGACTCAGCCAAGGAAGCACAGATGTACTAAACTGGGGGAAATCATATACCACCTTTGACTTTTGTCCATTGTTAACTAAACTGTAGAGGTTGTTTAAGCCAGAGAGAGAAACCAGCCCATCTGCTGAAATCAGAATGTGGCTAGCTTTAATATTCCTGTAACATAAAGTGGTAAATTTTAGTTATAAGAATTACTCAAAGCACTACTAGAGTGGAAAGGCTTTCATATTTCATTAACTTATAGTGAGATGTTAGCATGCAGTTCTATTTAGCAGATTATTTTCATGGAAGTTCTTTACTCAGTATGAGTTGTCATTTTAATACAGCCCAAGAGCGAGGACAGATGATCAGCAAGAAAAAGCTACCAGAAATTGGAGAAGGGCCCTCCTTCCCTGCAAAGGGTGTAAAGTAAGGAAGCCCTTTCTATAAGTTTGATTCTTTTCTGCTTCAAAGAGACAAAGCCAGGCAGATGTATAATCCCCGTAACAACCGGTTTTAAATAATGTATGAATATCATTCTTGTTAAGTTTCTATAAACTTGGTTCTGCTGTATTATTGAAAAAATTCTTTCTGCACTGTCTGACATAAGAAGGTATATAGAAAAAGGAAGGAGACAACACTTAAGCTGAAAATGAGTTTTGAAGTGAAACTACATTCTTAATAAACTGGATGCTGTAATCTGATTCTTACCTGTTGACATTCTCTTACCTGTGAATGTAGCCATTCTGATGCATGTAATTTAATCCTCTGATTGCACCAAACAGAATGTTCCCTATCAAAGCTTCACTCATTCCTTCAGGAAAGTAAGTCTTCAGCAGGTGTCTAGCTGAACCTGAAGTGAAAAAAAACACTAGCTAAGCCTAACAAGTCTTGTTAAATTACTTGTCTATGCTTGCTTCATTGTATACATTCATCAAGAGTGGCATTCTCATCTTTATATTGACGCTCTTGGTACATCAAGAACAGTTACATCGATGCAACTGATGCATCCGTGAGGCAAAGATCACACTCAAGTCATGCTTCTGTTAACTGAAAGTCTATGCCAAACCTGTATTCAATCTAGACAAGTTTTCTGTTGGTAAACGGCAAAGCTGTATAAAGTCAAATACATCTCCCGATTACCATTCCTCACATGGTGGGTGTTAGGACTAAGTGCAATTTAATGCAGTTCAAATACCAGTCTTCACTGGGAAGGAAGATTATGTACAGAAGACTTCTCTAAACAAATGGTTTGGGAAAGTTTGTTTTTTTCTACAAGACAGGAGATGCTTAAAGAAAAACCTCTCATGAACCATGTGGTCCAAATTTTATCAGTCCTTTTTCCTATTCCAAAATTGCAGTTAACAGTTCTTACCATAGGCCATGAATGGGGAGATGACCCAAAGCCAACTACCAGCTGTAAACACCGTCCAAAGTGTCATTACGTTGGGATGCTGGAAAAAGTGGGATAAAACCACCTCATTCTATGGAATTAAATGAAAGTGGATGTGTTAACCACAAGACAACAGTCTTACTAAGCATATTAACTATGTCAGTAATCAGTAGAAAGAACTGTTCCCTGTGTGCATTTATACAAAGTTGCAGGTGATGTGTGTAGCCTGCAACAGAAATGTAAATAACTTGTCTGTAATTGCATTTGTCTCAGGTAAATCTAGTTTGCTCAGAGTCTCAAGTTTTGGTGTTAAATACAGAATACAGAACATGTTTCAAAAGACAAAGTTATACAGTTACAGAAGTATTTCTAAAATACTTGTCAACTGTTTTCTTCAGAAAGGAACTCTCAAATTGACACATGCCTTGTGTTTATATTTTAATCCTCTGGAGGAAAAACTTGACTGAAATGACCCTGTCCAAACACAAAGGCTACCTCTGTTTAGCAACCTCATATGTATTCATCACTATCTTCACCACACTTGTGCAGAAATGCTGCTGCTTTACCTGTAAGGCTTTCAAATGGTCTTCAGAGCAATTTTCTAGGTCTGTGATCCTTACAGCAACTTGCGTGCCTGTAGGCGTGTGCCGTGCAAGGTAGACTGAAGTTAAGTTGTTGAACCTCCTTCCTGAAACCAGAAGTGGCTACCTTAACATTGGAAAATATAATAATCCACCACAAAATTTCCTTCAGATAATTTTTCCTTCAGATAATTTTACAGTTCTAAAATTGCAATTGATAGCAGCATGACCTTTTCTTTAAGAACATCAAGAACTTAAGTAGTTGCAGCAAAATATATCCAGCAAATTAGTTAAAGCATGGCTCTGCTATTTTTAGAACAACTAAAAGTGTTTAAACATTTGTCAGTATCAATTATACATCTAAATGAACAACACTTTCAGCGTGCATATTCATATAAATATATGCATGCACAGTAGGATTCAGGGCAGCCACCCTTAGAACAATCAACTTGGGTAGCCAAGTGACAAGACATGGTATTACTTAATCTTGTATTTATTGTCCACATACTACAGATTTAGAAAACTGACATGCACATGCACAAACATAAAGAGAAAAATGAAGGTAACTGTTGATTTGTCTTGTATCTTAAAATAAGTGTTACTGAAACGTGAGCAATATTCTGCACTTTTCTTACCTAAGAAGACACAAGAATAGTTCTAATCAGCTGATAATACATTTTCCAAACTTAATATTTACTGCAGTTAGCAATAACCTATGTGTGGCATGCATCTTCAGGAACAAGAAATATTTTAAGGTACACTCATGTTACCTATTTCCAGCTGGAGTTCATAGTGAGAGACATTAGAAGAGCAAAATACCATTTCATTCCTTCCCGTAGATGAGGGAATCCAGGCTAGATCAGAATCAGCCTAACAACGAGGAAAAACAGTTCTCAAAATGACTATGTAATTTTTAAACATTTACATGTTTAAAACTAATGCATAAATATCATTAGAATGCTAAGATTAAGTACTCAAGTCAGAACATTCAAGCTGGTGCTTTTACCATTACACTGAGACTTCATTTTATGAGCTACTGGTTTGTTTTTATTTTGTGTGTGTGTGTGTGTGTGTGTGTGTGTGTGTTTTGTTTTTAAACTGGTACAAGATTAACACTTAGTTACCTGTAGTCCTCTAAAGAAGAAGCCTCAAAATACTCTGATTATTTTTGCTGTTAACATTTTAACAAGTACCCTCTAATGAGATTATTTTTAAGATGTACCAGCTTTGTATTTAATGTTGCCAGACAACGTTTTTATTTTCTTCTTACCAGGCATTCATGGAGGCTGCTCTGAGATAGCTCTTCTGGTCTGATTGATTCAACTGGTGTACGTAGAATACAGGAACAGTCCTTGAGAACAGAACCAAGTGAATGTTAGTGGAGTTGCTGCAACTTACTGCACGTGGCAGTGGGAAAACATCAAAAAGTAGCCCCTATAAGCAGGAGTTCAGAAAGTTTTCTGCTAGAAGTCAGGCAGGCAGGAAGTTAAGAAACAGCATAAAGTGCATGCACAACAGACCTACAGATACTCAACAGTCTCTTTCACCGAAAGTTGATACAACGCAGCTTAAACAGCTCAGCACTGTGGAAATCCCCTCAAGCAAGACTTTTCACCAGGACTTTTTCACATTAAGGTACAACTGGGTAACAAGGTACAACTGCCAAAGATTTTTAAACAAACTTACCAAACAAGACATGGAACCGCTTTAGATCAGGGGAAAAGTCATATACACCCATTTATCCTAGAAAAATTAAAGTAGCAATGTAAGATCATACATAAACCTGTGATAAATATAAGTGTCTTTAATCACAATTGTGAGGCATTCCTCTCAGTTAACACACACACAAAAAAAAAAACCCAAAACTACAGCTTTGGGAAAGCCTGCTTCTATTGAGCAGCAATATTCTATCATCAAGCCACATAGATTTCAAACTCCATACTGAGGATATGCAATATACATTCCAACTCAAGTTTTACCTTTTTGATTCATGGGTTTAGAGATACTATTACCACTTCTGAACAATGTAATTGCAAGTTAACTGCATAAGTGCAGAAAGTAAAAAGGAACAGATTCAGGAATCCTTGGCAGTTTGCAGGAAAAGAAGTAATTGTCTGTTGTTTTAAAGGAGCACAGCTGTGCTAGTCAGATCTCGGCTCAGCTGTGTGCAGCTGAACTAGGTCACAAAAAAAACAAGCCAGAAGTGGTTGCACTTTACATTTCACAAGTGAGAGAGGAACTACTATTCTAAGGAATTTGAGTAAAAAAAAAAAACAAAACCAAAAAACAAAACAAACAAAAACAGAGGAACCAACTCAGGTAACTTTCACTTTACTTAGGCTACAGAATCAGCATTCACACTTCTTCACAGATCAGAGTAGCTACTCTGAAAGTCCTCCAGCAGACTTACTTTATGTCTGATGCTTTGAAAGCTTGGGCAGTGAGGAGAGAGATGACTATATCTAATCAGCATATCAAAGCTTCTGAAGTGTAGAGTGGAACTAGATAATTTATTTTAGCTACAAGCAAGTCTTCTACCATGGTGGTAGAAGACCTACTTGTACTGTCCTACTTGGTGGCTGACAAAGTCAGGTCCAGAAGGTAGTTCCATGTTAATATGTAATTATTACTTGAAAATTAGCTTAAAAAAGGTGGACTATGATACCAGAAACTGATCATTTTATTTACCAAGGAGCTAAGCTTGATTATATCCCGCATTTAAATTATGTATGCTATTTAATCAAGGCAACAGTCTTGAAAAGCTAACAAGCTCTCACCATACCACCCTCTGCCAAATATCCAAGCCACTCCTAATCCTTAGTATTTTTACCCTGAAAATCTGCTTGAAGTATAGAAATACTGCAATTTCTTATTAAAGATGAAAAATAGACACAAAAGAAGATCCTTAGTAGGTGTTGGGCACCTTCAGAGGATCAGGCCTTGACTTACCCAACTTCACTGAGGAAGTCTGTGGCCGAGTAGAAGGAAAAAAAAAAAAAACCAAAACAAAACAACAGGTGCTTCCAGATACTGGCCAGCACTGTAATGACTAGACATAGACAATCCTTCTCCTACCTGGAAAGGAGATAACCTCATTCCATTATACAAGATAATTTATTCTGTTGCCTGGAATATGAAACCACAAAAGCCAAGCTGAAGAATAAAGTCGTAATAACTATGATACACTAAAGTAAAATCATTGGAGAATTTGTTCAAAGGCTTATAGCCAGCCAACAGAAACATCTATGATCCACATTTTTTCAAATAACATTATAAAAGTACCATTTTTATTTTTCTTATGTAGTTTAACATTGCTTCAATTTCAAAAGGGTTTTGGATCATGTCCATACATAAACCTTTTCCCTGTTTCCACATTTTGCTTTCTGTATCACAGCCTTTTTTTGCTCTGCAGATAGTGACAGTATTGCACAGCTCAACGGACACATTCACCCCAGCTTGGCCAAAGCTTCATATGCCATGAAAAATGCGGTGGAGAAAGAAAAACCAAAAAACGTGCCTGTGAGCTGGGAGAGTGCGGAGGCTCTGGAGCCCAAAGCCCAGGTACGGTGAACGCACGTCACTGGTTCAGCTGACGCTGGGCTGCAGCTCCTACTTCACGACTGGAGTGACTGAGGCAGCTCCCGATCGTGTATCTCGAGTTAAATGATCCGTCCGTGACAAAAGTAACGGAACGCGAGAAAATGACGCCCCACAGTCTCTCCCAGGAGAGCTGCTCACTTGGTCCGTTAAACTCGTACCTTGCTGTCCCCCGGCGCCCCCGCCTCCTCCCGCGCCCGGCGGCGGTTTAACGGCG